AGCGTGGGGCCAGCGGCTGCGGGGGGGCTGCAGCCACGTCGGCCACCCCCAGCGCCCGTCCTGAGAGGCCACCAAGCCCCACCAGAATCCGGGTGGCCCTGTGCAGTCACTCTGCCTCCCAGGGTGGACGTGCAAGCGTGCCGAGAGCATGCTCGTGCAAGCATGTCAAGAGCATGCACGTGCAAGCATGTGGAGAGCATGCATGGGCATGTCAAGAGCATGCGCGTGCAAGGATGTCAAGCGCATGCATATGCAACTGTGTGGAGAGCATGCATGGGCATGTCAAGAGCATGCGCGTGCAAGCATGTCAAGAGCATGCATGTGCAAGCGCATTAAGAGCATGTGTGCTGCACTGACAGCACGTTAAGAGCATGTGTGCACAAGCACATCAAGATCATGCGTGTGAAAGCATGTTGCAAGCATGTGTGTGTGCAAGCACGTCAAGAGCACGTGTACAACTACACGAGAGCATGTATGTGCAAGCATGTCAGAAGCATGCGTGTGCAAACACATTAAGAGCATGCATGTGCAAGCATGTTAAGAGCATGTGTGTGCAAGCATGTCAAGAGCATGCACGTGCAAGCATGTGGAGAGCATGCATGGGCATGTCAAGAGCATGTGCATGCAAGCATGTCGAGCATGCATGTGCAAGCATGTTAAGAGCATGTGTGTGCAAGCACATTGAGAGCATGTCCATGCAAGCATACGAAGAGCATATGCACACGTATGGAGAGCATGCCTGTGCAGGCACATCAAGAACATGTGTGTGCAAGTGTGTCAAGAGCATGTGTGTGCAAAAATGTCAAGAGGGTGTGGGTGCAAGCGTGTTGAGAGCATGTGGGTGCAAGCACATCGAGAGCAAGACACCCTGCCAGGACATTGCACCCGCCACATGCTGCCAAGGGCCAGCAGTTCCCTGTTGCCCAGCCAGCCCTTTCCTGGGCCTTGTGGTGCCCATGGTGTCCGGAGCTGCTTCGGGGCTGCAGAATCTTGGAGCCAGTGGTGGGAAGCAGGAGCAGAGTTGTTGGGGGCAGCGGGGAGGGAATGGAGGTGCCGGGGCCTGGATCGAGCCCAAGCTCGGAGGTCCTAAATCAGGGCCCACAAATAGCCTGAGCCCTGACCCCCCTTCGGCAGCACTAATGTGGCGGGGTGGCTCATCTGCATCGCCCTGCACACCCCACTTTGCACGTCTTGAACACCTTGCATGTCTTGCACACGCTTCTTTGCACGCCTTGCACAGATTGCACGCCTTGCATATGCTGCCTTGCATGCCTCACACATGTCACCATGTGTGCCTCATCTTGCACCTCGCCTCACCTTGCACACCATGGGCACCTTGCACACTGCCCTCACACTCCTTGCACGCCTTGTACACCTCTCCTTGCACACCTCGTGTTTCACATGCCTTGCATGTCTCACGTCACACGCTTTGCACACATTGTCTCCCATCTCTCATGCTTTGCACGCCTTTGACTGTCTCGCCCACCTTGCACACTTTTCCCTGCACACCCCACCTTGCACACGTGGTTCACCTTGCACACCTCGCCTCACACGCCATGCTTCTCACTCACCTTGCATGCTTTGCTTTGCAGACCTTGTGTGCCTCACTCGCTCTGTGTGCCCTGCTCGCCTCGCCTTGCACACCAGGTCTTGCACACCTCTCCTCGTGCTTACCTTGCATGCCTTGGCTTGCACGCTGGACCTTGCACACCTTTCCTCGTGCTCCTCTTGCACGCCTAGCCTTGCACACCTCACCTTGCACTCTTTGCACATATTGCACACCTCGTACTGAGGCTTTCCTGCCCGCATCCTGACGCGCCCACATGGAGCCAGTGCGGTGGCAGCTTGGACGTACGAAATTTATTAGGAAAACCCAACTTGGACGA